TTTTTATTTAATTAAGGTAAAAGAAAAGTTTTGATAATATTCTGATTGTGGAATCAATACAAATAATTTTTCTGTGAATAACTAGGTCATCTGCATGGTTAATTTATAACTGCAGAGACCATGTATTGCTTGTGTATAACAAGAAGGAGTGAACAGAGGCAGCAGATAGCCTCACCTTCTTGGAAACTGTCGGTTTATGTTTTCATTTCTGAATGTTTAACTGTAATGAATTAAATATCATAGTGTTGGTTTACTAACATGAAATCCATTTCAATCTGAAAAACTCACACAAGAAACACAGACAATTAGGATAAATTTATTGATACAATTACTTTGTCTTTGGCGCTCAGACCTCGGCAGGAAACATAGCGCTTAATTCTGATAGATATGCATGAACAGGAGCAAAGAACAGGGCTGTTTTCCCCCAGGCCTGAAACTGATAGCAGGGTTGAGATAGATGAAGTTGGTCAGTCTATAGACTGCTGATTAGCGAGACGGTATGCTGAGCTTTATGGGGAGATCCAGTGGACTGTGTGAGCTGATACTAGAGCTTCACTCAGGGACCTGGAAGATGAAAGTCCAGCTTGGATAACACAGGTTGAGAGAACCTGTCCATGATGAGCAAGCATGAAGCGACAGTGGAGGGGAAAAACTCCCTGTTGGGAAGAAACCTCTGGCAGAACCAGGCTCAACATGGCGGTCTTCTGCCAGACCGGTTAAGATGAGACAGGGAACACAGCAAGAGTCCGGGAGGAATGAAACTTTGATGAAACTTTTACTTACAATGGTGGAGGAGGGGCTGGAGGTGTGTTGAAACGGTGTCATCAGAATAAAGTCACAGTGCATCCGCCTCCTGCGCACAGGAGCAGGCAGGATTCGCTTTCGTGGAGGTGTGGTTCAAAGCTGATTGGCTGTGTTGCAAGTGGATGTATGAAAAGCAATGAGTTTCTTTAGTTGAACTTCCACCTATGCTCCCTTTATTTGAATCAGATACTAAGGAAAATCAGTAATGGATGCGAACAATTATCATAGGTAAAATTAAGGGAGATTTAGAGGGAGTTGTATACACTTAAAATAATAACTGTTTTGGGAAGCTGATGAATGACAACAGACATAACAAAGTGAAATCACATTAAAACAAGGAATGTAATTGACATGATTCTAGAGTTGACTCTGGCGCAGACACAACACGAAACTGGAAGCGGTTTAGATAGTTTATTGAAAAGTTTTGACAGAGAGATAGTTTTTGGATCGGCGAAGATTCTCAGGAAACAGCAGCTTAATCAGGAACTGCACAGAGAGAGAGATCAGTTAGATTCGGGCTAGGGAACTGAGTTAACTAGAAAAGATGCAAACTCCTTACAGGTCGATGGAGAGCGGAGCAGATGGAGGGGAGATTGGATGAGCCCACAGAGATTGAGTTTGGCTGAGTGTCGGGTTTCGGCTTGAGAGCTCCAGAGGGTGGACAGGCAGGTGAGCAGCGGAGGACGGATCCAGGAGGACTGAGAAGAGAGCCGGCTTGGAACTGCAAGGCTTCTAGGGAACAAGGAAGACAAGGAGGTGAGCTTGAGCCAAGACACAGAGTTCACTTTAAGACGAGCTAGCTGGTAAGTTACCACTGCGTGGAAATTAACCGACTGGCGTCCGTCCCAGGAAATCCACTCCTCTAAATACTGCTCCCTGATTGCGTCCAATTGGAACCAGCTGGAGGCTCTTCTGGGCTGGAGACTCTGAGGAGGAAAGGTAAGAGAAACCCTAACAAAGTTCAGCACACAATCCTGAGGGCCCAACAGTACCCCCCCCTCAAGGGACGCCACCTGGCGGACGAGCAGAAGAAGACGCTGAACGGCGCTCAAAGTCAGAGATGAGCGCGGGATCCAGAATGAAGGAGCGCGGAACCCAGGACCGCTGCTCCGGACCATAACCCTCCCAATCAACCAGATATTGGCAACCCCGACCTCGGGGACGGACATCCACAATGCGACGCACAGTGAAGGCAGGGTGGCCGTCAACGATCCGGGCGGGTGGAGGGGGCCTGGATGGAGGGCACAGAGGGCTGGAAGATACTGGCTTGATTTGGGAGACATGAAAGACGGGATGGACGCGAAGGTGAGAAGGGAGCTTCAGGCGGACAGTGGTAGGACTGATGACGGCTTGGACTGAGAAAGGGCCCAGAAACCTGGGAGACAATTTTCGGGAGCACCCCTTAAGAGGAAAGTTCTTAGATGAAAGCCAGACCTTTTGTCCAGGAGAATAAACTGGGGCAGGGACGCGTCTGCGGTCTGCAAACTTCTTGTTCTGGGCAGCCGTGCGGTTGAGGGCTGCTCTGGTCTGGTCCCAGATGCGGCGACAGGCCTCCATGTGGCCCCTTACAGAGGGGATGACAGTGTCTGGAAAAGAAGAGGGGATGAGGGATGGCTGATAGCCAAGAGAAGCTTCAAACGGAGACAACCCAGAGGCAGCGGAGATGTGACTGTTGTGGGCATATTCAACCCAAGGCAAATGTGTGCTCCAGGAGGAGGGGTTGTTGGCGCAAACGCAACGTAGTGCGTTTTCTAGTTCTTGGTTCAGCCTTTCACATTGGCCATTGGTTTGGGGATGAAACCCTGACGAGAGACGAGATTTGGCCCCCAGGATAGAGCAAAAGTCCCTCCAGACACGAGAAATAAATTGAGGACCTCGGTCTGATAGAATCTCTGAGGGGATGCCGTGAAGTTTAAATACATGAGAAAATAGGAGGCGAACGGTTTCAGCAGCAGAAGGAAGCTTGTTAAGAGGAATTAGGTGGCAGGCTTTGGAAAATCTGTCTATGACTGTCAGGATGACTGTCAGGATGTCAGGATGACTGTCTTATTTTTAGAGATAGGAAGACCAGTGACAAAATCTAGTGCTATATGTGACCAGGGCCGACTAGGGACTGAGAGGGGCTGCAGGAGACCAGCTGGAGGGCGGTGAAGATTTTTTCCACGTGCACATGTGGAACAGGCAGAGACAAACTCTAACACATCCTTGTTGAGGGAAGGCCACCAGAAATAGCGGCGGAGCAAACCAATGGTACGACTAGCCCCTGGGTGACAGGAGAACTTAGAAGAATGAGCCCATTGGATGGCCTGAGAACGGGTTCTGGCCGGAACATAGAGGCGGTTTGGAGGTCCCCCCCCAGGATCGGGCTCGGCCTTCAAGGCTGCTTCAATGGCCCTCTCCAGATTCCAGGATAGCCCCCCTACCACGCAGGATGGTGGAAGGATCGGTTCAGGGGTTTTAGAGAAATCATCTGAGGCAAACTGTCTGGACAGGGCATCAGGCTTAATATTGCGTGACCCAGGACGATAGGAGATATTTAGGTTGAATCTAGAAAAGAACAAAGTCCAGCGGGACTGCCGGGAGTTAAGCCTCTTAGCGTTCTGGAGGTAGGACAAATTCTTATGGTCAGACCAAACGACCACTGGGAGTTCTGAGCCTTCTAGCCAGTGTCTCCACTCTTCAAGAGAGAGTTTGATGGCTAGGAGCTCTCTGTCTCCAATGTTATAATTTCTTTCAGAGGGAGAGAATCTTTTAGAAAAGAAGGCGCATGGATGGAGCTTACCATCTGCTGGGGACCGCTGGGAGAGTACAGCCCCAACACCAGTATCTGATGCATCTACCTCCATGATGAATTGAGCCGAGGGATCAGGATGAATAAGAATGGGTGCCTTAGAGAATTGGGTCTTGAGCTCAGAGAAGGCTTTTTCAGCTTCAAGGGTCCAGATGAAGGGTCTCTTGGTGGAGGTTAGGGCGGAGAGGGGAGCGGCGATGACGCTGAAGTTTCGTATGAACCTCCTGTAGAAGTTGGCAAATCCAAGAAACTGCTGAAGCTGCTTTCTGGTTTCAGGGGTTGGCCAGTCCAACACTGCCTTGATCTTGGCTGGATCCGTCTTCACCTGTCCACCCTCAAAAACAAAACCAAGAAAAGAGATTGAAGGAACATGAAATTCACACTTTTCGGCCTTAACATACAGGCGATTCTCTAGCAAACGGTGGAGAACCTGTCTGACGTGGGTCTTGTGTTCCTCCAAATCTCTGGAAAAGATCAGGATGTCGTCTATGTAGACAAAAACGAAGATGTTTAGAAAGTCCCTCAGGACATCGTTTACGAGGGCCTGAAAAACTGCTGGGGCATTAGAAAGACCAAAAGGCATGACCAGATATTCAAAATGACCGATGTGAGTCTTGAAAGCGGTTTTCCACTCGTCCCCCTCCCGAATACGGACCAGGTGGTAGGCATTTCGGAGGTCGAGTTTAGTGAAAATGGTGGCTTGGCTTACGGGTTCAAAGGCGGCGGATATGAGAGGAAGAGAGTATTTGTTTTTGATGGTGATCTGATTTAGTTCCCGATAATCAATGCAGGGGTGGAGAGTCTTATCTTTTTTCTCAACAAAGAAGAATCCAGCCCCAACTGGAGATGAGGAGGGACGGATGATACCTGCTTCAAGAGAACTGTTAATATAGTTCTCCATGGCCTGACGTTCAGGTCTGGATAAGTTGTATAGTCGGCCTGAGGGAAGAGGGGCGCCAGGAAGAAGATTGATGGCCCAATCATATAGTCGATGAGGAGGCAAGGAGAGGGCTAATTCTTTACTGAAGACGCGTTGTAGATCATGATAATCTGGTGGAACTTTAGAGAGGTCAGCTGGAGGTTGCTGGGGATTGGACACAGAACTCTGAGGAGGGAGTGCTGAGCGGAGACAGCTATTAGAGCACTCAGGACTCCAGGACTCAATGCGGGATAGAGGCCAGTTTATTTGGGGATTATGTCTGATTAGCCAGGGGTAGCCCAAAACCACTGGGGAATTCATAGTGGGAAAAACCAAAAATGAAATCTGCTCGTGATGGTTGCCTAGGGACACAAACTGAAGAGGGACAGTCTGATGAGTAATGGTTTTGAGAGCGCTGCCATCTAAGGCTGACACAAAAATAGGAGTTGGGAGTCTTTGAACTGGAATCTTATATTGGTGAACGAGATCAGGACTGATGAGATTCTGTTCAGAACCGCAATCCACTAGGGAGAGCACGGGGAGGCTTTTATGGTCTAGGCAGATGGATGAGTGAAAAGTTAAGCGGAGGTTGTCTTGAATCATGGTTTTGCCCGCCAGTACCCCCAGATTTACTGACGGGCAAAGGCTTTTGGGCGAACCGGACAGGTGGAAATAAAGTGACCAGAGTGGCCACAATACAAACAACACCCTGAAGACAACCGCCGTTGGCGTTCTTCAGGTGAGAGCCGAGCTCTGCCAATCTGCATTGGTTCAGGAGAAGGTGGCCGAGGCTGAGACTGAGGGCTAGGAGTCATAGCAAAAGCTTGGTGCGGGGAAGCTATATTTCTCTGACGGTTCCTTTCTCTGAGCCTATTGTCAATTCGGATGGCTAGATTAATTAACTGGTCTAAGGTTTCTGGTTCCTCTCGGCAGGCTAATTCATCCTTAAGCTTTTCACTAAGGGAATGTTGGAACGCCCCCTTGAGGGCTGTCTCGTTCCAACCTGAGTCGGCGGCTAGAGTGCGAAACTCAATTGCCAATTCGGCAGCCGACTTGTTTCCCTGTTTCAGAGTCCATAATTTTTTGGCTGCTTCTTCCTCCCCAACATGCAGGCAAAATGTTTGTTTGAATAAATCCAAAAATTCTCTGAAGGAGTATTCATCAATGTTAGATTCATCAATTATTGCTTCTGCCCACCTTAAAGCCTTGTCTCTGAGCAGGCCGATGACGTAGGAGATCTTGTTGGCGTCATCCGGAAATGACTGCGGGGACCGCCCGAACACTAGGGAGCACTGTAGCAGGAATCCTTTGCTCTTGTTCAGGTCGCCGCTGAATGGCTCCGGGGTGGGCAAAACAACGTCTCTAGGCATGGGAGACCTGGAAGAAGCTGCAGAGCCAACAGGTAAGTACGGTTTCGGAGGAGAAGGAGACGGCAATTTAGAGCTTAATTCCTGTACTTGGAGTGACAGTTGGCTAAGGGTTTGCATGAGTGAGGTTTGTTGCTGAGCAATAGTAGAGATAGCCGAATCGTGCCGGCCGAGGAGAACTCCCTGTTCAGATAGAGCGGTTCGTAGTTGTGCTGCAGAGTCTTGCTGGCCAGTCGGTTCTGACATGATTCTAGAGTTGACTCTGGCGCAGACACAACACGAAACTGGAAGCGGTTTAGATAGTTTATTGAAAAGTTTTGACAGAGAGATAGTTTTTGGATCGGCGAAGATTCTCAGGAAACAGCAGCTTAATCAGGAACTGCACAGAGAGAGAGATCAGTTAGATTCGGGCTAGGGAACTGAGTTAACTAGAAAAGATGCAAACTCCTTACAGGTCGATGGAGAGCGGAGCAGATGGAGGGGAGATTGGATGAGCCCACAGAGATTGAGTTTGGCTGAGTGTCGGGTTTCGGCTTGAGAGCTCCAGAGGGTGGACAGGCAGGTGAGCAGCGGAGGACGGATCCAGGAGGACTGAGAAGAGAGCCGGCTTGGAACTGCAAGGCTTCTAGGGAACAAGGAAGACAAGGAGGTGAGCTTGAGCCAAGACACAGAGTTCACTTTAAGACGAGCTAGCTGGTAAGTTACCACTGCGTGGAAATTAACCGACTGGCGTCCGTCCCAGGAAATCCACTCCTCTAAATACTGCTCCCTGATTGCGTCCAATTGGAACCAGCTGGAGGCTCTTCTGGGCTGGAGACTCTGAGGAGAAAAGGTAAGAGAAACCCTAACACAGCTCAGCACACAATCCTGAGGGCCCAACAGTAATGAAATAATCAAATAATGATCATCAACTCATCATTTATCAAATTTAATTTTATTCCATTTGATCAGCTGATAACATGTGCATAGAAGGATTTTTCTGTTGTATTGTTTGCAAAGTTCAGTAGAGGGTGTCGCTGTTCATTTTTAAGTGAAGACTCACTTGTATTTAAGGGAAGTAAAGGGAAGTAAGCTGCCTCAGCTTTAAGGGGAGTAAAGCTGACAGTGATGGGCAGTAGCGCCGCTACATGTAGCGAAGCTATTAGTTTAACTACATTTTCCAGTAGCTTCACCGTAGCGTCGCTGCTTTATTTATCAAGTAACTTTCCTGTAGCGACGTTATTGTTTTGATCAAGTAGCGACGCAGCGTCCACAAACGCTACAAAATCCAGGGCAAAACTTAGAAATGAAACCAGGTTTTCTATTTTGAAACAACAATCAGCCACAAGCTACTGTAAATAGCAGTTTCAGCTGACGCTCTTATAAGTGGCGTAGTAGCGGAGGCACACTCAGTACAGGTGCTGGTCATAAAATTAGAATATCATGAAAAAGTAGATTGATTTCAGTAATTCCATTTAAAAAGTGAAACTTGTATATTATATTAATACATTACATACAAACTCATATATTTCAGATGTTTATTTTGTTTAATTTTGATGATTACAAATGACAACAAATGAAAATCTCAAATTCATCATATCAGAAAATTAGAATATTGTGAAAAGGTTCAAAATTGATGGCCCCTGGTGCCACACTCTAATCAGCTAATTAACTCAAACCACCTGCAAAAGCCTTTAAATGGTCTTTCAGTCTAGTTCTATAGGCTACACAATCATGGGGAAGACTGCTGACTTGACAGTTGTCCAAAAGACGACCATCGACACCTTGCACAAGGAGGGCAAGACACAAAAGGTCATCGCTAAAGAGGCTGGCTGTTCACAGAGCTCAGTGTCCAAGCCCATTAATAGAGAGGCGAAGGGAAGGAAAAGATGTGGTCGAAAAAAGTGTACAAGCAAGAGAGATAACCGCACCCTGGAGAGGATTGTGAAACAAAACCCATTCAAAAATGTGGGGGAGATTCACAAAGAGTGGACTGCAGCTGGAGTGAGTGCTTCAAGAACCACCACACACAGACGTATGAAAGACATGGGTTTCTGCTGTCGCATTCCTTGTGTCAAGCCACTCTTGAACCACAGACAGCGTCAGAAGCGTCTTGCCTGGGCTAAAGAGAAACAGGACTGGACTGCTGGTGAGTGGTCCAAAGTCATGTTCTCTGATGAAAGTAAATTTTGCATTTCCTTTGGAAATCAAGGTCCCAGAGTCTGGAGGAAAAGAAGAGAGGCACTTCATCCACGTTGCTTGAAGTCCAGTGTAAAGTTTCCACAGTCAGTGATGGTTTGGGGTGCCATGTCATCTGCTGGTGTTGGTCCATTGTGTTTTCTGAGGTCCAGGGTCAACGCAGCCACATACCAGGAAGTTTTAGAGCACTTCATGCTTCCTGCAGCTGACCAACTTTTTGGAGATGCAGATTTCATTTTCCAACAGGACTTGGCACCTGCACACAGTGCCAAAGCTACCAGTACCTGGTTGAAGGACCATGGTATCCCTGTTCTTAATTGGCCAGCAAACTCTCCTGACCTTAACCCCATAGAAAATCTATGGGGTATTGTGAAGAAGAAGATGCAATACACCAGACCCAACAATTCAGAAGAGCTAAAAGCCACTATTAGAGCAACCTGGGCTATCATAACACCTGAGCAGTGCCACAGACTGATCGACTCCATGCCACGCCGCATTGCTGCAGTAATACAGGCCAAAGGAGGCCCAACTAAATACTGAGTGCTGTACATGCTCATACTTTTCATGTTCATACTTTTCAGTTGGCCAACATTTCTATAAATCCTTTGTTTTTATTGGTCTTCAGTAATATTCTAATTTTCTGATATGATGAATTTGAGATTTTCATTTGTTGTCATTTGTAATCATCAAAATTAAACAAAATAAACATCTGAAATATATGAGTTTGTATGTAATGTATGAATATAATATACAAGTTTCACTTTTTAAATGGAATTACTGAAATCAATCTACTTTTTCATGATATTCTAATTTTATGACCAGCACCTGTAGAGTTAAACAAGCGCACCCTTTCCGAGGCTGTCGTTCTATTGGCTGGAAAGGTTGCTAGGCAACGATCCAACTGCAGTCTGAGAGAGCAAAACAAATCCGCAAGCAGAGCCTACGGGTTTGCGAGCGTAACAGAGCGCGGTTTGTGCGCGAAGAGAAGGAGGCAAGCGAGAGGAGAAAATATCTGTGCAAGAAGCATTAAATCTGAGAGAAGAAACAAAGAGAGAAGAGAAAATATTTGAGAGAGAGCGCATGTTTTGAGTGTGAGCATTATAAGTTTTGAGAGCAAGAAGATGAAATTCTTTTCTCAAATTGAAATGATGTGCTCTTGCATTATGGCAGGATAATTCTCCCATATCTATGTGCCACTAAGATACTCTAATTAGAGAGCAGTAGTGAAACTTCCATATTGTGTTTTCATGGCCTAGTTTACCTGACAGGATGTTTACATAAATCTGTTTTTAGGCTTTGCACAGACAAGATGTTTTTATTTATGGAGGAACAGCTCTACCGTATATAAAATAAATACATAAATAAATAAATGCTCAATAAATAAATAAATAAGCATTCAATTAATTGCCTCCAAAAATACAATGAATAAATATGTAGGTAGAAATTAAATTAAATGGTGAGACATATATATATGTATCTCTTAATTAGCTTCTTTATTTTTTCACCTTCTTTTGTAAACAGTTTTGTTTGTTACTTGAATCAACTGTTTAATTGAGGTCTTTTGTAGGGTTTTGTTTTCCCTAGAGATGTCCATTGAATGCAAACTCATAGCCATGTCTCGGTGTGTAGAACACTACACAGTACCTTTAATTTGGTTCTAATAACAGCAGATTGTTTACTAGTTTGTCTACTAGTAATTACTTTAGTTTTTATTTTAATATGCTGATCATAAAGCAATGTTTACACTGTGATATGTCATTGGCTGATCTTTAATAAATATTTTAAAGGAATAGTACACCCAAAACATGATTAGCCTTCATTTTCTACTCACCCCCATGCTGAACAAAACTCTGGAGTACTTTTTTGATATCTCAAATGCATCTGGAGATCTGGGAGGCTTCTTGCTGTCTGCTGACATTCAAATAATGGAGGTCTATGGCGCCCGAGACAGAAAGGTCCATAAAAGTCCATAAAAACGTGTCAATATTCCTCCATACTGCTCGTCCAATGTATTCCAAGTGTCCTGAGTGGGTAGCGTCCATAATTTACTCGAAACGAAGTCATTTAGAATGTTTTTAGAGCATAAACAGTAGTGTATAGGATTTCCTAATAGCGCCCCCCATGCGCGCTCACGACGCTACGGAAGCCGGCAGACCAAACCAGCGCATTCAGCTCGGCAAAGAACTCATGCTCTTCCTCAACACTGAAGTACTCAGACATTTTTCTTTCGTTGTTTCTTTCTTTGCACAGGTAAACAGCACATTTCTTCTTCTACGCTTGCATTATCGGCAGAGCAGACGCTGAATGCGCACTTCCTTCCGGTTTGGTCTGCCGGCTTCCGTAGAATCGTGAGCGCGCATGGGGGCGCTATTAGGAAATCCTATACACTACTGTTTAGGCTCTAAAACGTTCTAAATGACTTCGTTTCGAGTAAATTCTGGATGCTACCCACTCAGGACACTTGGATTACATTGGACGAGCAGTATGGAGGAATATTGACACGTTTTTGTGGACTTTTGTGGACCTTTCTGTCTCGGGCGCCATAGACCTCCATTATTTGAATGTCAGCAGACAGCAAGAAGCCTCCCAGATCTCCAGATGCATTTGAGATATCAAAAAAGTACTCCAGAGTTTTGTTCAGCATGGGGGTGAGTAGAAAATGAAGGCTAATCATGTTTTGGGTGTACTATTCCTTTAACTAGTGTGTCAGACTCATTTTGAATTGACATTAGGTTGGTACAACGTTAAGTAGCTTCTGATGTAGTTAAGCTACTTTGAACACATTAGTGTAACTTAGCTTGCTATAATTCTTTAGGTGGTAGCTGTTGTGTAGTGAAGCTTAATTTATTGTTGAGTAGCTGATAGCTTAGCTCACTACACTGGACAAGTAGCTTGCCCAACACTGAAAGCTGAGGCATGCAAGAGCAAAAAAAAAAAAAAAAGAATCAATCCAGAGTTTGTTTGATTGTTTATTTGTAATGTTTAATGGAGACAAGGACACAGGATTCACTTAATTCGGTTCTGTTTGTAAATATAAACACTTGATAAACTTTCTAAATTATCACCTAAATTTTAACCATTTAGCCATGCCGCATGGTGGAGCAGCATAACTTCTCTGCTGTGCTTAGAAGGCACAGCAGCATATCAGAACAGCACACCCAAACTTCTAATAGCAGTTTAACATTGCTGTACGCTGAAAGTAAAAAGTATTTCACATTTGCTTAGCTTTTTTTATACAGTAATCTATTAGATTGCTGTTTTGTTTTATCTTATAAATGTGACCTGTTTAATAGTGTGTAAGAAAACGCTTCTTAATGTATTCATTCAGTGTTTAATATAGTT